AGCTCTATACCGCTGCTCACGCAGCTCCAAGCGCTGCCCAACGCAGCTCCAAGCGCTGCCCAACGCAGCTCCAAGCGCTGCCCAACGCAGCTCTATACCGCTGCTCAACGCAGCTCCAACCGCTGCCCAACGCAGCTTCCAATCACTGCGTTCAAGCTTCCAGACACTGCGTTTGGACACAGAATTCATGCCAGAATGCAGGAGCTGCCAGACGCAACTCTAACCGTCGCCAGACGCAGCTCGCAAACACTGCGTTCAAACGCAGATTTCATTCCAGAATACAGGATTTGCGTTTGACTCGTTCAAACACGAGCTAAACGGTTTCAAAACCGTTTTCCCATGATCTGAGGAGATCACAACTCCACTCAGGAGTGATTTAAGAGGTGCGGTTACATCTCATTAGCCCCACTTAGGAGCGAATTAAGGAGGTGGTTACACCCCTTAATCCCCTATAAATAACTGAAAATCAATTCAGTTCAAGGGGGGCTGTTGGAACTTCTTGGCAGCGAAAAGAGGATCTTTCATCCTTCGGTTGGAGCTTTGGAGATCGACAACAAGATCTTCTTCATCCTTGGCTTATAAACGACTTTCGGTTAAATCAACTCTTTCATAGAGTTTTAAACTCGTTCAGAGTTCTCCACAACGTCAAATCGTGAGGAGAAGACCACGTTCCAGTGAAACAAGAAATCGGATCGTCAACGGAGAGCAAGTTCGACGCAAGCATTCGAAAGAAGCACTCCATCGCCACCGTGAAAAACCCAGAATTAAACAAAGGGGAGAATCCAGATCATTCTCCTCTCTTTTGTAATCAAGAAATCCAATTGTAACCGAGATTAAAGGAATACAAATTAATTTTTTTTCATTTCTTTTACTGCAAATTTCTAACAAACATTCACATGATTTTAACTCCCGTAAAGTTTGAGGATTTTTTTTCAAAAACAGACTCAGTTTCAACCAACTGGATCGGTTTTTAAAATTAAGTTTGAAACAAATCTTTTTTTGAAATTTTTTTAACAAACATGTTGGTTTTGAAAATTTGTCCTTGTTTATAGTGAATCTCTTCTGCTGCTGATCAGAAGCCTCTTGTGTATGGTATTGCTCTTTTCTCTGAATTTGCTCTTGTTTTGTCAATTTTCTGCTTGCTTTTGGTATTGCTCTTTTCTCTGAATTTGCTCTTGTTTTGTCAATTTTCTGCTTGCTTTTGGTTATTTAACATCACACGAATCAAACCGTCGAGTCCCGTATATATTTAGTGAATCTCTTGCATGGTTTTGATTTTTTTTTATATTAAATGTTTCTGAAGTCTCTAATTTTAGTCAACTGACTAGCACTTGTTGTTAATAAAGACTTGGAAAGTCCTTTGTGCAAGTTGGTAACATGCCTTATGCATTTAAGTTTATTTTGACTCAATTTACCATAATGTTAATTAGATTACTACAATAATGTTTTAAATATCGTGTAGATAAACCGATATTGTCGGTGATTTATCAGTTTTTGAGGACCTTCCGCTATAAGCTATGATAAGTTCAAATCTAAATCATCATTTTTATATATTTATTGATGATGATGCGACAATAAAACGAGCGATCAGAATTATTGGTATATGGTTTGAGTTTTGATTTCAAGCCACCGACAACTTTTGGTTTGAGTTTTGATTTCAGGTCACCGGCACCTATTCAATGCACTTTAAACTCGACCTGACCCGAGTTTTTACCATTGGTTAGTGATCCTAAACGTAATATTTACATTTTGATATACTTATATTTTATTAAGTATGATTAGATTACATTTTAGAATATTATATCGTATATATCATCATCCGGTAATATCACTCTAATAAATACTACTTATCCCCGATATATCGCTGATATCCGCTATACGATATGAATTTTAATAGAAAATTTTAAGTGCAAGGAAAAGAAGTGCCAATAATGGAAAACAAGTGCCAATAGTAGAAAACAAGTGCCGATATTGTCGCTAATATCCGCTGATATCCATTATATTGACGCGCTTCCTTTCATTAACATGAGAGCTTTTTTCTCAAAAGAAAAAAATAAGAATTAAGAAAATCATTTGTACTTGACGGTTCAACTTTATACATCAACACATCACACGTATCCAATTGCCCCCCCCCCCCCCCCCAAAAAATTCAAAACCAAAATTTTAATAACTGAGATCCTTAAAAAATAATAATAATAAATAAAAAAGAGAACCATCAGAAACCAGGGATTATCAACAGGAAAGCACTCGGGCGTTCAAATCGGTCCGCATCATGGCTAGGTCGAATGACCCGCATCATCTGGCTCTATTTCAAATTTCACAAATAAATAAATAAATAAATAAATAACGTAAAAAAACAAAGAGGAATAATTTTCTGTGGCTCAGAAAGAAAAAAATGGGTAGAAGTCGAATGTCATCAACTGAAGAACATCAGAGTGGTGCATGACTTTGTTCCTCATCATCGCCACTTGAATCGCCAGGAGAATTTTATCAAAACCCCCCGAATGATTTTAATTTAATTGATTAAAAAAAGGACAAACCCTAAGCGAGATCGAAGAAAAATATTTGGAGGAGAAAAAAAAATAGACATTTTTCGTTAGGCTGTGGAGGGTGAGAATAGGGCTTCTAGTTAGCGAGTATTTATAGGTAGCGATGGGCGAACCTAATTAAGAATTGAAAGGACGAAAATGCCCTTTACGGTTGAATGGGCTTTTAGGGCCCATTACATTGTCAGTGTTATCTAAAAAGTTTTTTTATTCCGGGAAAAGCCAACTTGCTCCTCGAAAAACTCTAAAAATAATGCGAAAATACAAGAGCAATCTTTAAAGTTTAATTTTGACCTATTTCTGATTAAATTTTGACCTATTTTCTGATTAAATTTTGAATGAAATCTCCAAAGGCTCTTGAAAAATAAGCAGAAAAAAAACTATGTCAACTTTTGTCAATAATACCTGGACCTATTTTCTGGTTGATTTGCATCTGGGAACCGCTTTAAATGTGGTTTTTGCACGTGCATCCTTTGTCAAAGGCGGTTTTTGTGAAAGAGAAAACTGTTTAAAAACTTATGTCACAAACTTCTATGGAAAAAAAATCATGTAAAACTAAATGCCATGAACTTTATTTTCCTTTTTTTTAAAGTTAATTTTTCTCTAACAAGAGAGATTACGACAATTCTATGCAAAACCATTAGTATCGCGATATTGTTTAAAATTTTTAACATTTGATTTTATGTGAAAGAAATCCTTTTGATTTTGTTAACTGTTAATTTTTTTTTTACTACGTATAGAGAAGAATTAGATTGTTTTATCCTACTTGCAAGCTAATTCCTTCTTCGTTTTTGAACATGCATACATACATAGATACACAGAGATTCGCTTGAAATTCTTATATTGAATTTTACCCAACCCATGATGCCCCAATCAGATTTGTATCTAAATATACTTGCATCAAAATCTGATAGGTCCGTTAAATTCGATTAAGTAAATTAGCATAAAAATAAATTGAAAATATTAGCAAATGAGTAAATTCCTAAATCATCATCATCATCATCATCATCATCATCAACAGCAACAAAAGAGTAAAATTTGAGGTACTAACATAGGTTTGGTATTGGAGCAGCCCGTCATAAGTTATAACACCAAATAAATGAATGAATAAATAAAACCGCGACACAATTCATAAGCTTCGATCATTGAAAATAATGTCCTAATTAGGGACCAACTTCTGAATTATTTGGTATTCAAAATGAAAAATTAAGAAAGGGCGAGAAACGAGAAATAAATCAAGATGATAGTTCTTACAAAACAAGAAATCCAACTGATTCCCAAATTCGCTGTCATTTCAAACAACTGAGAAAAAAAATGGCAATGATTTATCTCAAAATAAATGAAGGCAAACTGTAAATTACTCTCTATTAACAACAGAACACACTGGTAACCAGCGGCATCATTAATCAATAATCGGCTTGAATCCCCGAAGGATTCTCAGCATTTCATCCCTCAACTTCAGTAGTGTCATAAGCACATTGCTTCAGAAGTAAAAACTAGTTTAAACTGCACGCTTTTTATTCTGTTTTTTAATAATTTCTGAGGATAAGTATCGTAACCGGTTTCATGACATTAAATGTGCATCAAATAAATATCAGTTATTAGATCATTGAACTTCGATTTTCGTGCACGGATCCAAGGGTTGACATCCTTTGGATGCACATTTATTGGATATTTTCTCAATTTCGAAGGCTTTTTGAGCACCGGCCCATCCCCGGAACAATGCGCATCCCTCTGCCTATCATCCAAATATTAAAGGGGAAATACCACCGAGTTAAGTAGGTTATTTATCATCAGGAAAAAAAAAGACCCATCTCCTCGGAGATTATAGGTGGAATATTATTTCTAGGCAATACCAATTCACTAACAGTAAACAGATCATAAAGCTATCATGTGGTATCCTATCTTGACAAGAAATTATCTATATGCTAAGATATCTATGTCAAGATCATAAAGCTATCATGTGGTATCCTATCTTGACAAGAAATTATCTATATGCTAAGATATCTATGTCAATATGACAAGGGCTATAGCTCAGTATCTTGACAAGAAATTATCTATATGCTAAGATATCTATGTCAATATGACAAGGGCTATAGCTCAGTTAAGTTAGGTAGAGCACCTCATTTACACGGGCGCCAATGAAAAATAGCAATATTCTATCTCAATGTCTCTCAATATGGAAAATAGTGTCTTGGCCATTATTGCATACTGACTACCATTAAACTATATAAGACTCTTGATAGGTTGTGAGGTAGAACATGAAATTTTCATGAATTGCCATAAATTGAAGGGAGGGTATAATGAAGAGCTAAATGTAAATAAAAACAATAGAAGAGATACAAATAAGATTATCTCCCTTCCTGATAGCTGAAAACAGGTTTAAAGAGACTGAACAGAATATTCATCTTACTACTGTTTGTATAAGAACTTCGAGATGAAAAAAAAAAAAAGTGTCTCAAATATGATTAACACTTTTGTATAACCATGTGGAAAACTGAAAAGTAATGAACTGAAATGCACCAGGAAAATAATCAAAGTAGCGAACAATGTAACATCTATTATGATCTAAGAAATTACTTAAATCTGTGATCCAGATACAAAATCTTGAATTTACATTTCAGGTGTGGTGATCATTGTTCTATGTGATTCAAGTTAGTACTGTATCAGAGGAGTTCTATACCTTCTTTACCGTGTGATTTGGTACACACGCTGCCTCCAGAAGCATACTTCTCTGAACCAAAGTCACAAGTGCCTGAAACTATATGCCCTGCAAATAATAATGCAATTTGTTGATAGGCTGAAAACTCCATCCATAATAATGAAACAGGTTTCACAAAACTATCATGACCTTTGAGGAGTTCTGCACAAAACTAACCACAAACTTTTTTACTAGAGAAAACTTTAACTTTCACAGCTGCAAAGAAATGCCACGGGCTACACTTGGAAGAAGATAGATAAAGTAAAGGCAAAATTATCCAAAGCATGTCATGTGCAAAAAGCACATGGTAGTTCAGTAAAAAAAATGTTCATGTTAACAGAAAATGTTCACGGTATTTTTGTGCAGAACCCCCTAAAGTTCATGTAGGTTTGTGAAATTTACCCTAACAAGAACTCAAGAAAACTTAGTGGCTGCCCTACATACTTACTGTTTACAGTACGGTCAGTTTAACTAGCGGTAAGTAGCCCATTTAGAACCATTTGCTCCGACTGAACTCAGCATTCCTAGTCACTAAATGGTTTCTCTTCCGTGTCAATCCACCGTCACTAAAACTTCCTTCTGCTCCATGATCTACATCTAAAAACTCATTAGACCATGATTGCATAGGAATAAGATAGCTATCATCCTTGGCTTTCATTTTTCGCTTCTCATGCTGCTTCATGTTTTCTGATATTTGATGGAATGTTTTGTTCATCTTTGCAATCCCTCGTTCCATTGGTTCGACCACATGAGAAACAGTATACCTGACATCATCTGCCATCTGACCACATACACGTGAATGAGAAAAATTAACCAATCTAGAAAAGAAAAACAGTTGGGGATAGGGTTAACTGCAGCTACTTATATCCCTTGAACTATTTTATTAGCACGTCAGGGTTACTTTCTGATAGACATCCATGTACTATCGCCCAATTGCAGATAGGTCCCCTTAGTTCGATTGGTGCGGATAGATTCCCTGTACTATTGCCAATTGCAGATAGACGGCAAGTAAAAAAAATTTTGACACTTTGAGAGTCTAAAAAATTCGCTCAAGGGGTCTATCCACAATAAGGGGTCTATCCACACTAATAGAACTACAGGTGGTCTATCCGCAATTGGACTATAGTATAGGGGTCTCCCCACCCCAACCGAACTTTATACAATGTTACTTGTTTGCCCTCAATTCAGAGGGCAATTCAGTTCCTTTTCAGTTAACTGAGAAGAAAATGATAATATTTTGACCTAACATAAGAACAAATGTTGTCTGGAAAATAATGTTGTTTGAGTTCAGTGCTTGCAAAGTGCTAATAAGACCAATATGAAGAAGAGGAAGTGCATAGATATGGGACTGACAATTTCACTGCTTCCAAGGACCACATCACGAACACTTTGTGGTAAGCTTAGACGTCTCTGTCTATCATCAGATTGGGAAATGTTCATCCTTGTCAACCTTGCACTTTCCCTAACTTCTTCTGGATCTGGATCAGCTCCTAGTGATGCATAATCATCCATAACAGCAACATTAGGTACGCATCTTTCTCCATGTTGATAAGGTGTAGCGGGGAATACATACAAGTGAACCACAGCTGAGACTCCCATCTGTTTCAAAGAAGTGAAGAACTTGTTGGTAAACAGTCTAGTACAAACCAAAAACGGAAGCCATTGCATATCTCAAGATTTCCAATATAGATGATTAAATGATATCAGCATATTTCACATGGTAAGGATCTGTTTAAGAGGTTAAAATACAATAAACCGTAGGCAGGGGTGAAATCGTGCATCATTCTCCAAGGATATTAAACAGGCTCTTGTTTTTGTTTTTGTTTTTGTTTACTTTACACGTGCCAATTTTAGTTAATCATACCCAATACCTAGGGCTAGGACAAATGTATAATAAATGGTAATGGCAATGGGAATTTGACATAGACAAGGTTAAATGACTTGGTAAATTTCGTCAAGTGAAATTATTGAAAAATGAAAAATAAATTAAATATGAAAAGGAAAAGAGAACATCATAAGGTCTGTAGCACAAATCAAGGACCACAGGATTTGACAAAGAAATGAATGTTACCAGTTCAGAGTCAACAGTAGAAATTAAAACATTTATTCCTTTCCAGTGAGTCTAAAGTGTTATGTGATTCAGTGCACATGGAAATTTGTATATTTTTCACGACGACAATTTAAATAAAGGGCAACATTGGCTGATCAGCAACTCAATATCATATCACCAAATATAAGATTTATACCTAGTTGCAATGTCAGTTTCAGATGGGCTACTTGAGCCTCAAAACGTCATGGTTGGGAGACTTGGGTCTTAAAAACAATGACATAGCAACCATCAAGCAAAGGAGAATATATAAATAATACCACAAACAAGAGATGGATATTTCCAGTATTAGTATTATGATTTCTTTTTCTTTTCTTTTTCTTTTCAGTCAGGTGACTTAGAAACAATAATGTCCAAATTCAAATTTTGACATGGAAAAATAATGAGAGGCAATTAACTTTACCTCTAAGCATATGATATAGTCCTGGATGCGTGTTTTCAACTCTTGGGCCAAATGGCCCTTAAAGTACCCCGTTGAGAAAAGGAATGCAACAATGACACCTTGCCACCATGTTAAAAAGACAATTGACTTAAAGGTAAGAAATTTAGCGAGGGGCTTTATAGGATCCAACTTCTCCTTCGTGACAGTATAGAACTGTATAAGGCAATACAAGGCCCATGTCTGACTGAAATTCAGGACAACAGCTAGGTATGGATACCTACATATGCACAAAAAATTTGTCATGTACAAAGTCACCTTGATATCCTGATTCCATCAAAATGAGCTTATATAAGTTACAAGCACAAGTAGCAGTAATATCAGGTATAACGTCACAGCTAAGTTCCAAAGATACTAGAAAAGGATCTTAATACAAGAATGGAGGACAGGACTTCACCCGCATGTCCATTGAAACCTCCCTTCTCCATAAACCCCAAAAAGTTCCAAAATAATTGCTAAGAAAGCACATATGGTCTTCACTATCATCTGGATTACAAAAAAACATGAATGTCAATGGTTAAAGAAATTATGAGAATGAGCAAACCAAAAGTAATCTAGCTATACATACGTATTGAACAATGCCAATTTTCACAGCCTGATAAAAATCAGAACCAAGATACCAGTGCCTCAACAAGCAATTCAGTGGAAATGGATGCCTCACGATGCCATCTTCGTATGGAAGTTCTAATAGTGGCATGCTAGAAGTAATTTCAACCTGCTTCTCCATAACCCTAATAGTGTTCTCCTCACCACCTATTAGAACAGAGAACTTCTGCATTGATTAGGGCAACTGCATGCATATTTTACTTGTCATTTAAACAATCAAATTTCCAGAAGAAAATGTGTATGTTTGCATATGTTAAAGTAAAAAAGAGCAAAAACAAGAGCCTTTTATTCATCAAACTAAGTTGTGGAGAACTTGCCATTCTTGTTCCGTACAGTTTCAAACAATTCAACCTTTCATACTAAACTCCAAAGCATCACAGTTATAAATAGACCCTCCAAATCATATGGTACTTAGAGACAGTTATCCTCTATTTGATTTTTGACGATATAAGAGGAATCACACAAAATATGAAATATTTAATGGGTTATGTATCTAAATATTTATAAGATCATCTCCTTAACAGAAAAATAATAGTGAATGATGACTAGTACAAACAATTTCTAAGCAATGTTACAGAAAGCGCTAGGCGGCCTAGGCATTGGATCTAAAGCCTAGAGCCTAGGCGCTTAGGCAAGGCCTAGGCGGTCTTCTGTTTTTTATTTTTTAATTACAATAATTAATAATAAATTCCAATATTATTGAAAGCTTAGGTGGCGAACTGACACCTAAGCGGATTTCTTTCTTCGTTCAAGTGGTGGTGGAGGTTTTGCAGAAGGTCGGAGGAGGTAGAGAAGGTGTTCATAGTTGAATGCTAGAGGGTTTTAAGAAGGTCGGAGGATGTGGAGGCTACAATGGAGGATTACAATGAATACCTAAAGAGTGTAGTCCATGTAAGCATCTAATGCTCCCCTAGGTACTCCCAAAACCTAGGTGGGCAGCCGAGGTGCTGCCTAGATGCCAAGCGCAAGGCGGGCGGCCTAGCTACGGCCTAGGTTGGCTAGGCGGAAGCTTTTTAAAAACATTATTTCTAAGTATGAATACTTCGGGTTCATCACCAAATACTTTAAGGACTATTTTTCTGAATATGAAAGAACTTGAGGGTTATATATCAAAAAGATCCACTTAGTATAGAATGATCCATAATGCAGTATTTTTTAAATAAATGCTGAATCCAGTGAAAGAAACTCACAGTATCTCAAAACTAAAAGTATCCATGCAATCACTTTTGACCCGAAAACCATCTTGCTTGAAGAATCTAAATACTTCAGGTTATTTTTCTAAATATGAAAGAGTTTGAAGGTCATATATCAAAAATATCTATTTAGAATGGATGATTTACAAAGCAGGTTTTTTATTTACATAAATGCTGAATCCTGTAAAAGAAATTTTCCATATCTCAAATTACCTTAGCAATACACTTTTGGCCTAAAAACAGCTGGAAGAAAAGTAAAAATGAAACGCAGATTTCCTGATAAAAAAGATAATATTCCAATTTTTTTCTCACAGTATATTTACAATCTTTTTAACAAGAAGCCACTGTTGATTATGACAACTCATGGGGACTATTGATTCTACATCTTAATATATTCACACTGATCATGATCTCTAGCTCTCTGCAGTCATGAAATCAAGTATAATATATGGCACTTAATCAGTAGGCTGATTTTAACAGATCATATTAAGAGAAACTTTTTTGCTGATGCTGAATATTCTCAAACAATTAACAATCTCATAACTCCTCAAACGTAAATCTTCTGAATAACATTTTTTTGCTGGATAATGAATTCAAGAACAAGTCAAACCTTAGTTCATGTTGCATTTATAAGACAAATAGGAATGCTGACATACCTAAGCAGGCAATCAAATATCTCTCGAAGCAATACAACGCAAATGCCTCGTAGCAGTCTCGCATTATTTCACAGACGAAAGCAACCTCGGAATTTAATAATGATAAGAACTGTCAAAAGAACATGATCCATAGACTGTGTTAGTTACCATCTAAAGGTAATGAACCTAACAAGTGCCATAAATCAAAGATAAGGTTCAAATCCTTATGATAGCTCAGAAAATTGATAAGCTATAAAACCTTCCATTGACAATGCATTTTTTGAAAAGTTATTGTTTATAAACACCAAACTAGTATCCAGACACAATTTTCGCTTTTTGGAACTTGGGAAAAAACCATAATATAAGAGTAAAGCAAAAAATTTTAAAAGCACTAAGTGCAAGAGTGTGGATAAAGTTCCGCATACCGATTCCACTGCATAAACAGGAACCATCAGGATGAGTCCAATCAGGAATTTTTGTTCCTGAGAGAGATAACAAAAAACAAAGTCCAGGTTAGCCCATTACCACACATTAACTTATAGTCAGTAATAAATCATCATTTATTCTAAACTGACTACAATATACCATGTCCTGCAACTGACATACTACTGTCTACGATACTATATCAACTTTAAATTAAATGACGTAACTGATAGTTAAGGAAACGTATGGAAACCTGAAAGAAATATACCTCGGGTTGATTGTAAATGGAAAGATGCTCAAAAATAAGGAACAAGGAGAGCACCACTGAAACCATTACAAATATGCCAGCACTCAGAATCGGCCAGCTGGGTAACATATATGACTGGAGGTCCAGATTCTGAGAGAAACTTTTCCATGACCGGCTTGATGACTCAGCCAGAGAAGAAAGCAGTAGCAGTGAACATAAAACTCCCTTCCAAGCCATTCAAGGAGGATGTTCTATCAAATTGCTGGCTTCAAAAAAAGAACCCACATGCTTGGACACCTGATTTCAAGTTATCTTTGTGTTATTTTCTCAGGTAGCGAGGATTGAATACAACTATGCCCCTCTATGCCTTCTTCTCCAAGCTTTAAAAAAGGTATGCTAAGCTAGGAACTCAATAAAGACAGTCTGTTCCCAAAAGAGGTCTCGAAGTATGAAACTCAGTAAATGTATAATCAGAATAATATGACAATGTAGTAGCAGAGTAAACGCTTGTCTTGACCAATTGCTTAAAATTTGTATGCCAATGCAAGACTGAGTTTAAGCCTATAAAAAAAAGGCAATATGTGAGACAAAGATAAATTATTCAGTAGGTTGATGAGATAAATTCACAAGTGCAATCCGATATGTCTGATCATTTATAAGTTCTTGAAGGATAATCGCACGAATTCCTGAACTCTATTTGCTCAATGTATAGTTCATACTATCATAGGAACGCCACCAGATTAGACTGATATATACTTACCCGTTCAATGAACCAATTCACCATTAAAAACAGTTGTGAAATGTTAAAGAAGTGTTAAACGAAACATAATATGGAAAAGGAACTCCTAAGGCACATTAGAACCAGTACTGATATTTTGAATTTAGACCCTTTAGTTTCAAGTTATCAGACAGCCAGTTGTCTAGAATGGAGAATATAACTTATCCTCTCATGTAAATTCTTTCGAGTCAACTCATAAATCTCCTTCAAGCATTAAGCTCAAATCATGACATCCCTTTTAACCGCCTCAATCAATGCTTACGCATATGTCAAATCTCAATGGGCGCCTCGAGCTCCCAGCAAAGCTAATCCTCTTACCTTCTACTCTAACATTTTTCCATGGTTGATAAAAGTTCAGATTGCTATTCTTCAACAATCAAAAGGGCAACACAAAGAAAGCACAAACTAGTGAATTGCAATATATTGTATTTCAACAGTGATTTTTCCATCTAATTAAAATACCCGATCTAAGTCCTACATGCACATCATAGGAAACAGAAAAATGAACAAATTTTACCAATAAACTATGAACTAATTAGGGTTTTATAAACAAGTCCTTATCCTGCAAACAAAATCAATTTGCATTGCTTGTAAAAACTCTAATCTCAAATACCGCCATCAAAACCTAATTTTGAAATAAATTTGACATAGAAATCGAAAAAAAACGCAAATATATGAATTTTCTCCATCCTTGACAACTGAAAACTACCGCCCGAACGAATTAGATTGAAGTAAGAGAAGCATACCTAGGGTTTTGATCGATCGAACGAGCAACGAGAGAAAAAATCTTAGGGGGGTGAGAGAGGTTTCTCTTGTTTTTTAAGGAAAAAAATTGTGTTTTTATTACTTTTGTTCGTTTTACGAGGAGTATTGCTTAGAGCGAGAGGAAACCCGCATAGAAACTATTTATGCGGCTGTGGGAGTTTTTTGTTTGGTAGAGGTGCGTTGGGAATCCAAGGGCATCACAACTAGTCTTACCAAAAAAAAAATCAAAATTAACTTGGTGGATAATAAGAGAAGAATACTATTCAAGAGAGTCTAACCGAGTTGGTAACCTGCGTAAGAGTAGTACTATGATGTATTTGATTTGACTCTTTTGGAAGCACCCACAAACTGAGCATTATGTGCATACTTCAAGACTAGAAAGGTAAGATTCCATATTATATTTCTTCAAGTAGCATTCCTCCTAACACAAGCAGAAAATGGAGCATTCACTATACAGTCAAATCTTGTGAAAAATTCCTCAAGGATCCAAAATATAGGACTAACAGGGAGGTCAGATTAATGATGACCAGTTTATTATACAATAGGAGGGGGGCACCTCACATGTCCCTATGTTGGTCACATATTTTAAGTCTGTAACAAAGCTCATCCCAAAATCTCCATCCAAGACACAATTTTAACCTTCACAGGGATTGAGACTCTCCAAATATTAACACAGTCAAATCCCAAAATCTCCATCCACACCAAAATTTGGTAATAAGAATGTACAGAAAAATTACCGCCACAGATACAACAATTGAACTTGGAAGATGGTCTTTATATAATTACCATATTGTAAAGGGGATTTATATAAAAAGCCATATTTTAAAGTAGGCTTTTTTCCGCTTTTGAGTCCTCTACAAAACAATATTTACAGAATAAGGCCCAGCCTACGAGAGGCTCACAGGTTACCCACCTTGGGATAATTTTATCCCTTTTCTCCTCCGCTGCCCTCCGGCTATGGATTTGGTCTCAGGGACCGGAGTAGCTTCAGGATTCACCGCTCGGCCTCGCCGGAGCGCCGCCTTGGGACCCCGGCGCCCAAGTTCCCTCCTCTTCCCAAAATGCCCCCGCCTCTCTCTGCACGCTCAACGCACTTCTCTAGTTGCTCGTGCGAAGAAGAGGGGCTCTGTCGCCCAACCAATCCTCGACGAGGAAGGAGGAGGAGAAGGAGGAAGAGACGATTATGCTGAGGATTTTGGCGATGGTAATTTTTCTTTTTTTTTTCGCGAGCTCGGTGCTCTTTTTTTAGCAAATTTGTAATCTTTATATGGGGTTAATGTGTTTGGTGAATTTTTCTTTCCTCCTTCAAATTATTATTTCTTATGTTGTTATACTTTTTCATGGTTTCTAGTATTGGTAGTGCGATACAAATGGTCACAAGCATGTACTTTACTCCAAAATTGTTTTTTTCTAAAGAAAATATTGGAGTTTTATCATCTACTAAGCAACCCACAAGCTTAGATCTCCTGAATGCTAGAGTGAAAGGTGAATAAACCCCCCCGATATATCTCGTGTAGTGAGAGAAAATACGCAATATGCATGAAGAGGAAGAGGGAGTAGAAATGGAGAACTTACTAACTAGGGGTTATGTTTTTATATTCCAACATGCCTCCCCGCAGGTTGAGCGCCCTTTTTACGGGCTGAAACCTGGACTCGGGTTGCAGTATCGGTTTTTAGACAATCCGCTTCAATACGTAACCAGTGGGTTTTGAACGTGGTTGCTCTGATGCCATAGTCCCTCTCTGATACCATCTTGAAGTCCCTCTAACTGGTACACAAAACCCTAAAGTTAGGATAAGAATTTAGGGCTATGTTTTTATATTCTAACAAAGGCCATCCATTTGTAGGGCTTTTTTTTCTTTTTTTTTTTACAGCGGTTGAGATCTCAGCTGTCCAAATTAGAGGCAAGTGTTCTGATAGGATTCACACTCTTGCACATCCCATAACTTCACAACATATAACAACAGAAGATAGAAGCACCAAAAACATCCCCTAGGATTCAAAATGTGGGAAACAACAAAGTATTTTTCTAAACGTCAATAACCAGTGGACCAACTTGGTCGATGCTTCTGTGGAGTGTCCACAGCTTTGAATTACACCACAATTGACCCTACTACTAGTTGGAAAATGCATATACAGTATTATTATGCGAAGATGAACCTACTTGCTAGGCAAAACTTTACTTCTATCTAAGTGGGATAGTGTGTCTTCCCTCAAAATATTGACTCTTTTAAGGTGTATGTTACTCTTTCTTTCATCCATAGAAGGTGGAGAAATAATTTCTTATGTGAATCCTGCTAATGCTACAGATATTTGTTCCTAAATTTACAGGTTACTTAGGCCTATTAATTTAGTTAAAGAATAAAAGTAACCATATCATATGTACATAAAATTAAGATGAATAGTAGACCTTAATGTGTAAGTTAGTGATTCTATAGTGAAATTGCCTGGGTATTTTTCAACATTTGACCACTCAAGCATTGGATTATTCACTAATGTCATCAGACCTAATTTTTTGAGTCCAATCATGGTAAGGAAATTTGTAGGTGTAACTGCAAATTAAGCAAGCAGACGGAAAAAATTTAGTAAAAGAGCTAGACAGTTTTTATAAGTATATTTGTTTTTTAGGCATTTAGTATTCTCACGGGTTCATATTTCAACTTCAAGTAGTTTGTTCTCTTGCTTTTCCTTCACTATCCATTTTCTTCTGCTGGCTTAAATCTGCAGCACTTTATTCAAGTTATTCAAATTCTTACCTTATTTAGCTTTCCTAAGTCCTTTTGCTGTTGTGTTTCTAAACTTTATAAGGCTACTACTGAGGATATTTTCTCTGATAATGTATATTGGAACAGAAATACTGGTGGATGATGATGAGGCTTTTGAAGATGAATTTGAGATGGATGATGCAAAACTATATGTAAGTTCTATTTATGTCATTATACTGGAAGAAATGTGTAGGTCTTCCACTAGCCAGGTTAGCTTAGCTTCAACCCACTCCTAAATAAACCTGATATAGATAAGACCTTCAATCAAACAATTCGATCTCATCCTAAGCTGGACGAAACTAAGTCTTTCAGAGCTTTTAATTGGGTTAATGTGTTTATTTGCAAGTTTTGTTAGATCAGAAGCTTTTGGCCAAAACCCATTTTATCTTGTCTCAAGCCAAATTAAGCAGCTCTAACTCACATATATTGTTGGGTTAATTGCATGTAGAACCCTGTACTATTGTCCAATTGCGGATAGACCCCCAGTAGTTCTATTGTTGCGAATAAACCCCTTGTCCTTTCACC